TACCCACCCCACAGACACCCAGAATCAGGCCGCTCCTCTGCGCCTCCCCCAGCCCAGCCCCGGCCGCCCACACTGGGCACTGGATGAATCCAGCCCCTCCCCAGGGACCCAAATAGGGGTCCCAAATAGGGGGCTCTCCACACCCAAATAGGTCATTGATTCTTCCAAAACAAAAGCCAGGTCACAGCCCTTCTCTGGTCAAAATCGTGCAACGGTCTCTCAATTCACACAGGGAACAATCCAAAGCTCTGATAAGGCCGTCAGGGCCCCCGCACAACGCCCTAGTCCCGTCCTCTGCTCTGGCCTCCTGCTTACTAGCAACATGCCAGGCACGGCCTGTGGCCATGTGGTCCTGGGGGGGGGGCCCCCGCAGCTGTCCCCAGAGGCAACATCGACCGCTGCCTCATTTCTCTCAGGCCCTTGCTCTTAACATCCCCTCTTTAGATAGGTTCTCCTGACCCCTCTTAATAACCAGCTCCCCAAATGGGATCCTCCGACCCCGGGCCCCTCCACCTGTCCACCTGTCACTTTCTGCACTGGCTTTGGTGTCTGCCTCCCACACCAGAATGTGCGCTCCAGGCGAGCAGGGACCTCGTTACCTTCCTTCCTGAATCTCCGGTCCCTACAACCGTGGCTGCACACAGTAGGACTTCAATAAATGTTTTTATACTGTATTAGTTCACTGACGCATGAGTCCACATAGACAATGAGATCGCTGGGGTTTTTGTTCTCCATTAGCTAGCTGAAGGAAGTGAGGGCCAGAGTCGTTAAGGGACCAATCACATCATCAGGTGCACGGACCCAGGCCTTCCACCCGGTCTAACTCCAGAGTTGCCCAGCCTCTCTCGGGTTTGGCAAGGCGGAATGCTCACCTTCCTCTCGGAGGAGGAAAGAATTTTAACTCAGCACGCCAGCCAGGGCACAAGCGGCGCACATCGAGGGGGCTGCTGAGCACTAACCAACCGCTGCTACAGACCCTGGGCCACGAGAGGCAAAAGGCGCGGATCTGCAAAGGAAGGGAGCCGGGAAACAGACGCAGCTGCTTTTCCCGCTGCCCCCAATCTCAGGCGCAGGGCTCACCCGTGACGGCGACGCAGGAGTCGATGGCGGGGCTGCGGCACGCGCGGACGATCACCACGTAGTTGGTCTTGGCGAGCTTGCCCTCGATGAGCAGCCGGAACATCTCGGAGAGGCCCTCGGCCAGGGAGTAGGTGCACTCGATGATGTGCACGCTGTCGTTGCAAGAGCTGGCGGCCAGGCCGGCGAGCCAGGGCAGCTGGGCCGAGGTGACGGGGGCCACGGCGCTGGGCGCGGGCGGGCAGGGCTGCGGCTGCGCCTGCTGGTACTGCCGGATCTCGGTCAGGTGCGATTCGCGCCACGAGCGCAGGAAGATCTGCTCCAGGTCCTCCATCAGGGGCACCTGGTCCGCTGCTGGCAACGACAAGACGGCAGGAGAGGCTTGGGCGCCGGCCCCCGGGTCCCCACCGCGAACGCAGGGGGCGATCCTGGGGAGCCGCGCGCAAGCAAACGCGGAAGTAACACAGTCCGCGTCACCAATGCCAGATCGTCTCAGGGACCGCGGGGAGGTACAGGGAGGGCAGCCGCGCGGCCAGAAGCTCCCCAGCCTAGCGGGGCCACAGCTCTTTCTGCCTGTGCCTCAGTCTGGGTTTCACGCGCAGGTGTTAAATAGCAGCAAGGACTGCGAGCCTACGACTCCGGGGCTCCTCCTCTTTCCCTACCGTCTCGCTGTAACCACGCATCGTGCTGTCTGCGGTCCGCGCCCAGCACGGTCCCTGGCCACGCAAAGTCCCTTCCTACGAGGCTCTACCGTTTACTCAGCGGTGTCTCCACTGTCGATCCTTTCTTTGCTGCCACGTAGCCACCTCTGCAAGCGCTTTCACAGTACACGTCTTTATGCGTAGAACCTAGCTTCCCGGCGTCTCGAAACTGGGCTTCCGGGGCCAACCTGTACACATCGTCAGACTGTGCCCCGAGGGCCTACCTGCGTCTACCTACCGGTGACTTTAAGTCATGTGTGACACTGGTTTTACTGCACCCTTAGCCCCACTGGATACCCACGCTTGCGTCATCAATTCGAGAGATACGTTACTTGATTTGTGGGTCTGACGCCTAGGAGACTGAATACCGTCAGCCTTTCTTTCCTGGACGTTTTCTGGCGTGTCTGTCCAAATCTTACATCTGGGGGAGCTGGAGGAAACGGCACCACGCCTGGACTCGGAAGGCGTGCTCCCTTCCGGTTCCACCCGGCGCCAGCCCGGATCCAGAGCTATCTTACGATACGGGTTCCTGATCTGAAACACGGGATCACAATACACACGCACGAGGCTACGCCAAGATTTGATCAGATTAGCCGTTAGGCCTCCCATCTTTGAAATCTTTCCCCTCGAGCCCACGCCCCCTTCTGGAATCACCATCGCCAAACCGAGCTCTTGGGAGAGCTGTCTACACCCCCTGCGCTTGCCCCGTCTCCAATCCACCGCAGCACGGCTGTTGTCCCCCACACTCCTCGGACGCACCCGCCACCGAGGGTGCCTGTCACTCCCGTGTGCCCAAACCCAATGGCCAATCATCAGCCTTCACTCTGCTCTTGGCCTCACTGACTCAGGCGACTGGTCCCTCTCCTGAAATGCTTTCACGGGATTCTGCGTCCCTGTTTACCTGTTCCTTCGACACAGTCGAGGGCCAACTACAGTGCAGGTGCTGTTGGACACGCAGATGTGAACTAAATCAACGTTCCTGGTCTCACGGACCCTACATCCTAACCGGGGAGAGGCACGGAAAGCGAGCAAATACTGGTGCTCTAAAGGCAAGATACGGAGGACAGAGACTCCCAGGGGCCTGCGGAGGGGGCACTGTCTTAGATATGGTGATAAGGTTCTCCCTGAGGTGACACAGGAACCAAAACTCGGAGGACAGGCCCTGGGCAGGGGCGTTTCTCAGGGGTAGACGGGTCTGCCGCGGGGCACGGCAGGGCTGGAGCAGAAGCGGAGGTGGGAGGAGGCCTGGTCACTTGGACCCTGGAACCGATATGGGTTGAGTGTGTGATAGGAGACCCCGGGGGGCTCCAGCAGAGAACAGATACGATGAGATTCACAATCGTTAACAGCTGTGCAGAATGGGGGGCAGAGCCGCACCCTGGCAAGGGAGGGGTGTGGCGGAGGAGGGTGGGGGACGCCGCATCTGGGACGAAGCAGGGCTTTCCGGTGGATGGGATGTGGGTGGTGAGAAAGGATGGTCCCCTGCACTTCCTGTCGGCCAGCCAGCGTGGCTTCTCAAGGGCTCCAAGTGACGGGCAGGGATCCGGGCTGACACGCCGCCTCGGGCCGCGACCGCTGCACCAATGGGCCCCACGCAGCGGGAGGGAGGCTCACCCAGCTGGACGAGATAGTAGACGGTCAGTAGGAGCTGCACCTCCTCGGAGATGGGCTGTATCGCCGAGGCCCCGTAGTGCTCATACGCCCGGGAGATGGACTGAGAGTTCTGGTAGCACGTGTACAGGAGGGGGCTCACGACGACGTCACTCAGGTTCCCGCAGAGGTAAGGGAAGTTCCCGTGGCCTGCGGAAGAAGCAACCACGTCCGCTTGGCGGCTGGCGTGGGGCACACGTGGCCCCCACAAGCGCGCACGCCGAAGGCGAGGGAGCCGAAGCGGGCAGGCCAGAGGCCCCTGGGCTGACTCACACGTCCCTCTTCGGGGAGAGGGAGGAGGGAGG